ATAAGGTTTATATATTTTGATTTTTCTTCAACTCGCGCAGGTGTTGTTGACTTTTGTGAATGCTTTATGTGGTTTTTTTATATATATTAGTGGTACTTTGCAAAGTCAAATATGAAATCAGGATTAAATTAGTGAACGTGGAATTTTAATGTCAAATTTGGAAGTCCATCATTTGATTGATATGTTTGAAATCTTTACCTGATCATTGACTAAACAAGAAACACTTGTGTGCAACGGTGATAACACTGTTTTGTTATTCCTGTTTCATATAAGTTTTTTTGCAACTCAATAGATTATGGTCGTCTCAATTACGTTAAAAAAAAAATTAAAAAAATATGAAGTTGGTGAGGTGCTGAAAACTCGACTTGAAACGACTTTGAGCAGTGTCTTACCGGCCAGTGCCACCAGTTCATCATCTTTCTGTCTGTCACCAATTTAATGATTGTCACGGGAATTTCATCAAGGGCAAAACTGATTACATGAAATTATTAGAACCACACACATTACATTTACCAGACAGTATTTGCAATGCAGAGAAAAAGAGAGGAAGGAAATTCTAAAAATGATGTAACAAGGGTTGGATTGGAGTGGATTTGGATGTGAAAAGATTTTGTCTGGAAATTGTATTTGTATTGATTGGTTGCAGGGCTGGGAAGATTCCGTCATGGCATAGGTGGGTGTACAAATATAACTGAGTCTTGGTGCATAAGATTATATGTCCTCTTTTTGATCTCTATAGAAGAAACCCAAAAGATGTTGTGGAGAAAAATAAATACCAAAAAGAAAAGGAAAAGAAAACAGAAGAGAGAGTAAAAGCAAAGCTGAAAGCCCCCCATATTACATTTCATGACCCCACACACTCTTCCTGCCTCCTCTCATGTCTCTGCCTTCTCCTGCTCCTCCTTCTCCCTCCTCTGTTTATTTATTCTCTCTCTCTCTTGCTGTCTTTCCAAAGCACACCCCTTTTTAGCTTTTCCTTGCTTTATCTCTCTCTCTCTCTGTGTCTTTCTCTTTCTCACACTCACACTTTCCTTCTCTCTCTTTTTTGGCTGGTCTGCTGGCTTAAGAGTCTTGTGTCTCCATAGCCCTCTCTCTCATATCACTCATTAGGCCTTATCTCAAATTTTCAAATTTTCCCATGGAACTCTCGCCTCATCGACCCGTGACTGCTTCAACTCTCTCCCCTCCTCATCTCATCTTCTTCTCCAAAAACCCACACTTTTTTTCCCCATGATTTTGTACTCTGAACCACTCCTCCACCAACAACAACACAACCAATTCAACAACCATGCACTCTCCTCCTCAGCAGCCTCACCGGAACGGCGAGACGACGCCGTACCCGATCCCCAACCATCCCTTCCACTCCACCGTCTCGCTACGGAAGCTCAGGCGCTTCAACTATCTCATCCTTGTCTTCCGAATCGCCTCCTTCAGCTTCTCTCTCGCTTCCTTCATCTTCATGCTCTCCACTTCTCGCGGCCCCAACTCCCCTCGCTGGTACCACTTCGACGCCTTCAGGTACAACTATTTCCAATTCATTCATATTTGAAGTTCCTTAATTTCAACATCAGTTTTCTGTCTTTTTTTAAATCTCTCACTCTGTTTGGCTGCCGAGAAATTCACTGCAATTCCGAAAGAGAAAAAAACAAAAACAGAAAAAGGTGAAATTTTTTCTTTTTAAATGAATGGCGCCGTTTAGCTCAATTTTCAAAACATGTCCTTCGAAAAGTAAAGCTAATACTTCTTCGAAGAAAGATTCAATTTTTCTGAGTCAACATAATGATGAAACAGAATAGGAATTTGTTTTGGGATCGAGTTTGCTGCACTTTCTCAGTAGCCAAACAGGCAGACATTTTACCGGAAAATTGATTGGGAAAACCTGGACAGATTGGTAGTGGGAGCGAATGCAATAGTGGCGCTCTACTCTCTCTTCGAAATGGTGGCTTCGGTTTGGGAAATCTCCAGAGGAGCCACTCTCTTCAGCGAGGTCTTACAGGTCTGGTTCGACTTCGGCCATGATCAGGTCCTTCACAGCCACTCTCTTTTAGCATACCCTTTTAATTAATTAGTGTTTAAAAGTTAATTAAAAGGAAACTTAACGGGAGGAGACGTGATCGTGTAGGTGTTCGCGTACTTGTTGCTGTCTGCGGATTCGGCGGGAACGGCGTTGGCGAGGGTTTTGAAAGGGAGGGACACGTGTACGGCTTGGAACGCGTTCTGCATACAGGCGGACGTGGCCATCGCCCTGGGCTTTGTCGGGTTTCTGTTCCTGGGCTTTTCGTCTCTGCTCTCGGGTTTCCGGGTCGCCTGCTTCATTATCAAGGGCTCTCGTTTTCATCTTTAGATAGGTAGAGAGAGTACTGCTGAGGGAATATTTGGGTGCCTCGAGGTGTTGAGTTCTTACTGTGTGGCCGTACTCTTGATTTTGAGACGGAGTGACTGATGATGTGATGTGATGCGGATGTGGTGTGTTGGCCAGTGGGTGCAGCTTTTTCAATTTTCAGTGTATTTTCGCGGGTCTGTGTGTGTATAGGGAGAGAAGAGTCATGTATTCTTTAAGCATTTCTTCTCAATTTTATGGACTTCACTTGCAATCAATATGCATAATTATTGGGAGATGGTATGGTGCGTGTCGAGGATTTCTAACCGTTGACGCATGTAAAATCTATAAAAATTCACTTTTAAACTGTTGATGCATGTAAAACCTATAAAAATCCACTTTCGAAGGCGGTTCACTGGCAATAGCAAATTTAATTATATAGATGTTCTTTGCATAGAGAATTCATTTGAGTAGTAAATAAAAGTTGGGGTAAAAATTTGGTGCCGCCGTTATCATTGAATTGATTTCATTTCATCAAGTACTAATATTGAATGTTTGAGTGGTAGTTAGAGGGTCTTTTTCACTGTCCAAGACAAGATAAGAATCCATTTCACATCACAAAACATATGATTACAAAAAACTATTTATGAAAAAAAAGGGGAAGACTTTACTCATGTAAAATAGTTTCTAGACATAATCCATGTCATAAATATAGAAACTGCTAAGTACCTTCATTAGTTTCTAGACATAATAGGAAGATGATGGTTGTGTTGAGAAGTAGCAAAAGTATCAGCTACACCAAACTTCCACTTCAGCCTGTTTAGGTATGCTAACAAAATTGAAAAGTTACATTGTGTCATCTACATGTTTCCGGGGGTGACATAAGGTCTCTTCATTTTAGCACAAACAATGCCAGTTTCAGTTGCCCTCATATTTTGGGTCTGCCGTCACATAATGATAAGCAATCACCAGAAGAAATATGAAGATGCCAAGAAGGTTGGCAACAATCCCCAGGCCTTGATCGTCAATCATCTGTCAGGAAGACAAGCACAACCCAGTAAATTAGTATTATACTAAAGAACTTCATATCATTTCTGCAGTGGACATAATTCATGCTTACAGCACAATCTATATCACACACCACACAAATAATTTATGAATATTCCATGTAAATAGTGCCTAGCAGCAATTATAACAAAAACGTTTGTACTGCTTTTGTGTGTGTGTGTGTGTGCATCTTCTAATGCCCAATTACACAAGGAATAACAGAGAAAATGAGGTCTGAGAAGGCATGCTCAGATATCAAATTTTTATTAAATAATCTCCAAAGTAATTTACCCAAATTCTAAACTAACCAGATATCTACATAAATCTTGATAGTGTACAAAGGCACTTTGCTTCGTAGCAAACATCAAAACATGACCAGAGGAATCTGTACTCATTGGGAATAAATTCCTCTATCAGGCCTCTTTTCGAAGAATAAATTCAATCATATCATTCCTCTATTCTGCTTCCCTTTGTTGAATGTGGGTTCTCTACAATCTGAATAATATTCCTCAATGTCTAGCTTAGAATGGCAAAAATAAGATCCGCTTTCAGCATCTTGTCTTGTCTTGTTCACTAATTAAGATATTTTAGTATAGCATACACAACAATTCCTTGGTAATTATTGAAAATGAGAGATGCAGTACGTAAGAAGTAAGAGAAGAACCCAGCAGTCATGTACATATTAAGTCACACCAAATACTATTTGGCTACTTTCAGCACATTGCTTGTTCATAAAACTTCACCAATGAGGATAGGAATCTTCAGTCTCCTGGTGTGAACATATCTTTATCATATCCAGAAAAAAAGACTATCTACTCCCATCCTTAGTAAATATTCTCAGTCTCTTTTATCTATAGCTAGCATCAACAAAAAAAAAGTACCCTTTTTTTCCTGGATACCATAATGTTGTGTGTCATCATTGTAGATGAAGCTAAACCATATGTTCAATGTGACATAGCCATATACAGAATAACTTGGTAACCAGAATCTTCTGAACCAAACATTTATCTTCCATTTCTTTAAAGGAATGAAAGCTACTAAGACAACATATTCTCTCCAACCCACCAAAAACAGTTATTGTCACTTACCAGTAGCAAATTAGCCGTGTCTTTTTCCATTTTTTCTACCCAGAATAAAAACAAAACTCTAAATTGTCTTCCAGTGAGGAATTCAAATACCCCACAAAATTTTCAGAGGAAAAAAAAAAGGAAATGTATAAAGAGGGTAGACGATCGCAGTGGGATTCGAACCCACGACCTTTAGATCCGGAGTCTAATGCGATATCCACTCCGCTATGCGATCATTAAGTACTCGATACTCCAAAACTAATATCTTAAACAAACTTATGAATGTGAATTGATTCAGCATTAAGAAAAAAAAAAAACTGAAAAACCACCAAATTGCTAGGGTTTTAAACTGACCAGTGACCACGACAGAGAAATCGAAATTCCAACTACATGCTATAAACTCGTAAACGATCTGAAAATGGGAGCTTCATCTTAACGCTACGTATATGCATACATATGATCTGCATCAGACGGAGAGAGAAAGTACCTTCGTGAAGATAAAATGCGAAGACGCCTGAATCTGCGAACAGATCGTCAATGGCAAGACCCAACTTTGAAATGTAACCGAGATACGTAGGTGAAGCGGAAAAGAAACCGCCTTTTTATTCACCTTCTCGCTCCGACCCGAAATATCAAAACAAGTCAACTCTGGCCCGAATTTTTGGCCCATTTAAATATGGACTTACGCACCATCCAGAGCATGTTAGTATGGGCTTGCGGCCTTTATGCGTTGCTCCTGATAGACTACCGTGGTCCATATGGGATGTTGAATTTCAATTTTAAATTAAAGTAGCATGTTAGTCGTTGCAGACTACAAATGGAATGCGGCCAAACTTGGGTGTTGAGCATAAAGAAAAACAAATGGAATGAAAATTATAATAGGAGAATTATCCGATAAATATTTAAGTTAAGGATTAATTACATATTTCTAATTTGGTCGTCGAATTGCAGATTAGGGTGCTAAAATATTGAGAGATTCACTATTATACTCAATATAAGAACTCAAATTATATATTACAAAAAACCCTATATGAAATACACTTTAAAATAAGTATATAACTAAATATCTCTAAAATATTTTGCTTGGTCTTAAAAATTCACAAAAACTAAAACCAGCTGTGGCTGCTGGGATTCGAGCCCAGGTCTCTACGGCCACAACGTAGAATTCTTACCACTAAACTACAGCCACGAGGTTGTCCTTTAGTTCAAAATTAACTTCTTTATTCAAAACTCACTTGCTGGTTGTAGTCGTCCGATGAACAAGTCAAACGCAATGCGTTGGAGCTGACGTTGCGGATAACTCTTCTGCGTGGACGTTCACAGACTTCCATGTACGTCAACTTTACCATTGCAACAATTTCATCTCTTTCTGACGTGGCGATTTACAATTTGGACATTTTTGGAAAAGCCAAAGAGAGAAATATTTGGAAAATAAATTTAAATGGACAAAAATGCCCTACTTCTTAGCCATCCCACGGTCCCGCCTGAAAGAGTAACTATCCCACGTTTCGCGCACCACCGACGGTAAGATAATTCCCCAGTAATAAATTAACAATTCTACTAAGACTATTATACTTTTAGAAATTTGATTTAAAAAAAAGTTAGTAAAAATGGTAGCAATCAAAGTAAAAATTTAAGAATTATATGTGAGTTAGACCAATTAGTTAGAGTGTGTGTGTTTCGCCACCTTGTATCGGACTAGGTTCTCATTAACGTACATTAGAGTAATTTTCAAAGAAAATATAAAATAACAAAAAATCCACCTTTAAAAATAATTAAAAAAAATCCAAGTTAAATATATCCATCGAAATTTGTATTTTACTTTATTTTATTTTTAAAAGTGAGTGAAAAATGATAGCTTTTCAAATAGAAAGCCAACATAAATTAGAAAAACAAGCCTTTTAACATAATAAGACAATAAAAAGTGATTTAAATATCCAGTTCACGGAAAAGGGAGAGCAGTAGAATTTATTTATTCTTGAAAGGCAGTTCCTCATTGGCTGCCTACCGCACATATCGTGTGGACTATCACACCGTAACTCAACAGAACGAAGTAGAAAACAACTGGAGATGAGCAGAGTCGGAAACTAGTAAGCGATGACGTGTCATGCACTGATTTCTGCAAACTCCAAATCTTCGAAGCACCGTTAATTTCGGTTACATCTCGAACAAGGACATTATATATGTTTGCATTTTACATGTGTTCGTGTTCGTGTTCGATGTTGTGTAGGAAACCTTAGAAATTTCACACCTTTGAGCCTTCACCTTCACTGCAAAGAGGAGAAAGCACCACCAGTTTTGTTTATTTTCTGTAAGGTATTAATATATATCCATGTCGAGCATCATTTTTTAATTTTTTTTAATTACTCAATTTGTTTTTCTTTTTTCTTCTTGTTCTTGTTTTTGGGTTGAAAAAAATTGTTGGGTTTGTGTGAGATTTAGATTTCAGATCTGAAAATAATAGTGGTGTGGGGTTTTAGTTTCGTTGTAGAGAAGCTTCTGATGACTACCTAATTTTCGTGATTTTGAAGCATCGTTCATCTCTCTCTCTCTCTCTTCTAGTTGGTAGTTTGGTAGTAAACTAATTTATTATTATTTTTTTGGTTGTTTGATTCCGAAAGTTTAAATTTCTTTTTTAAATTCAATTTGACCCCATTTGCATTCTGTATATAAATGCTCCCTCTCATTATCTCATACCACACTTGCACTCATTAACAGCTTGGGGAATTGGGGATTGCTCTCAACAGACAGGTGATCTGAACTTGATTTGCTGTTCAGTTCATAATCTGAAAAAGAAAAAAGATCTTTGCTTTCTTCATCTGTTTTTCATAGTTGTTATTTGGGTTCTTGTAAATTTTTCTGCTGAATGATGTGTTTTGAGTGTTAAGTTTTGTCTTTATATTTTCTGTCAAGTTTGATTTCATTTTGGAATCTGAGATTGTGCGTTGGTAGTGGGTGTATTTGATCTAAAATGTAGAAGTTTTGATTGTCTGGAGTGCAGAAGTTTAACAAATGGCTACAAATGGAGATCAGCAAGCCACCCCAAAACCACCTCCAAACCCCTCTCCTTTAAGAAATGCCAAGTTCTTTCAGGTAACATCTCTGGCCAAGTGGCATTATTTTTATTTTCAACTTTTTAAACCAGTTTGGTCAGTTACTGATCTACCGCGTTAGTATGCTGTTTTGCACCATATTTTTGTGGCAATTTATGTATATTCAAATGTTTATTCATCTGATGGCAGGCCAATATGAGAATTTTGGTTACTGGAGGAGCTGGATTCATTGGCTCTCACCTAGTGGACAAATTGATGGAAAATGAAAAGAATGAGGTAGAATTTTATTAATAATAAAAAGAATTAGAATTGACATGTCCAAGTGTTTATGCTTTACCAACATATTTGTATTTCCTGGTGTTGTTTTTCTTTTCTTCAGGTGATTGTTGCGGATAATTACTTCACTGGCTCAAAGGACAACCTGAAGAAATGGATTGGTCATCCAAGATTTGAACTTATTCGTCATGGTATGTCTTTTTAATAGGTCATGTTGGGTGGACCCTTTATTAGAGAATACCTTGTACTTTAAAGATGCTTCTGTGTATTCAGTACAAAGAAGAAGAAAAAATGAAGATTCTTGTGTGCGTGTGTGGAGATTGTATATGTAGTTTTATATCCCCATTATCTTCTTAAACAATATCCTATTGCAGATGTATAAGCAAATTTTCAAGTGGTAAATATCTTTACTTTGTTTGGTAATATTATTTTTCCTTCATGCAGATGTCACAGAGCCTCTGCTAATTGAGGTTGACCAAATATACCATCTTGCCTGCCCTGCTTCTCCAATCTTCTACAAGTACAATCCTGTAAAGGTGCGTCTATGAATATTTGATGTTTATTTGAGAACAGTGAAGAGTTGAATATAGTGTTAAGCTGTTTTCTCACAAGCATCCAGCAACCATGTGTACCAATATTATTGGAGGTGGAATAATTGTCTTATGTGAACATTTCTTGTGTAACAGACAATAAAGACAAATGTCATTGGTACATTGAACATGCTGGGACTTGCCAAGCGAGTTGGAGCAAGGTTTGATAATCTCGTTCTGTCTTATTTGATATAGCCATCTGTGGATATCTTGTTCGTTTCTCATGGTCTGAAATTCATTCAGGATTTTGCTTACATCTACTTCGGAGGTGTATGGAGATCCTCTTATTCACCCCCAGACTGAGAGCTATTGGGGAAATGTGAATCCAATTGGTATGCTTTTCATCCTAGCTACTGACAACAAATACATTTGCATTACCTTTGATCTCTGGGGTAGAGTATATATTGTCTTTCTGAGGCAAAGAAAAATATGCTCTATTATCTCTTAAAACCTTTCTTTCATTGCATTCCAATTTATACCGTGCCATAATGTGATGTATGGTTTTTCATTTTCATGCGTACAAATTTTAAAACAACTTTCATAGTGAAAATGTCAATTGCACCAACTTGTGGCACGTATTAATTGGTTTTGTGTTTGAAAACATAAAACAGGAGTTAGGAGTTGCTATGATGAGGGAAAGCGAGTTGCTGAAACATTGATGTTTGATTATCACAGGCAGCATGGGATAGGTACCTCTCCTTTCCTTTCTTCTTCTTTCAATGCTCATCACAGGCACATATTAATTGCTTCTGTATTCCTTCAAATTGCTGTTCTTTGTTTTCTCTTGCTTAATAACGGTCCTTCACAGAGATAAGGATTGCTAGGATTTTCAACACTTACGGACCTCGCATGAATATTGATGATGGTCGTGTTGTCAGTAATTTCATAGCCCAAGCTATCCGGTAAGTTCTACTAAGCCTTAGTTTGGTTCTGTACACCTATTAGAGGCGTACAACCAGTGCAGTTTTCACTTTGCTTGCCCCACCCATGTAATGCTAAAATATTTGTTGCCCATTTCTGTAGTGATGATCCCTTGACTGTTCAAGCTCCTGGGACACAAACGCGGAGTTTCTGTTATGTGTCTGACATGGTAAGCACGATTTTATTATTTTGATTCATGTTCGCGTGGAAAAATAAAAGGTCTTCATCAGGTGTTTATACAAATTAATCATACATTTTAATGCTCAAGGTTGATGGCCTTATTCGACTTATGCAAGGAGACAACACTGGACCGATCAACATTGGGAATCCAGGTTATCATACAAAGCCCGTGTGGTTAACAGGGAATTAATTTAGCTTTGTAGTATTATTTCATGGACAATATTAACACGCTTCTATTTTCAGGTGAATTTACAATGATTGAGCTTGCCGAGAATGTGAAGGAGGTAGGTTTTTGTATTTACTCTCGTTTTCTTTGTTTTTTTCAGCAAGGCGTGCTGATTAATTGCAATTCTTCTCACCACCTCAACATCACTATGAAGTGTAAAAGGGTAACTAATTTCTTGATCATGTGACTTGCAGCTCATCAATCCTAAGGTAGAGATTATAATGGTTGAGAACACGCCGGATGATCCTCGCCAGAGGAAGCCTGACATCACAAAAGCGAAGGACCTGCTGGGATGGGAACCGAAGGTTAAGTTGCGCGATGGTCTTCCCCTCATGGAGGATGATTTCCGCACAAGACTTGGTGTCCCCAAAAACAAGTGAGGGGTGTAGCATAGAATGTGAGGGTGGTGGTGCATTTTTGTATATTTGCTTGCCTCCACTGTGCGATACATCTTCATTTCTTATGTTTCTCAAGTAGAAGAATAAGTGGTGTTTACTATTTTTGTTTTGTGATGGTTTTACTTGAAACGATTTGAACGGTATTTGAGTTTATATCAACAAGCTTCCTTCTTTTATAACATTTAGCTTCCTTCCTCTATTGAGATTGGTTCCTGTCTTGTTATGAAGAGTTGATAATATATACACAAATGCCAATAAGTAAAACTTCACTTCGATTCTGTCGGGTACCCGTTTCTGCGCGGGTACAGTTAATACGCATTTACGTAATACCAAATGGGTACGTGGGTGCCCACCTCATCCCGTACAAAAGTTTCAGGAAAAAGGCCTAAAGGTAATCACAAGATCATTTATTTGAAAAAAATGATTTGGTCATTACAATTACACAAATTATTGTAATCCTTAATAAAAGAAGTTGCAAAGCAATCTATGATATGAACCTATACGATTTTTAAGAGAAAAATGGAAAATGGCATGAGGGGTAGAGAAGACATTTCAAGTATCGAATCTTTACGCTTCCACCACCCGTTTGGCTTGAGGTAGCTTGTCCTTCATGACTGCCTTTTTAGGTGCTTCAACCCCATTTTGCTCTTCTGTTGGGTTTTCAATCCTTGCAAAGATTGGTTTAGGTTGCGCCATGACCTGACCACTCTTTAGGCCACCCCACTTGGTGTCGCTCTACAGTGCAAAGGCACATGTTAGTTTATAAAAAAAAGTGTTTGGAAACCAGACAAAATACATTTATAAAAGTGGCAGAGAGATACCCAGGTAGCAGCATCAAACTGTTCCTTTGAGTAGCTAAGCTGTCCATATATTCTCCAAGATAAGCTCGGCGTGACGGGTGATAATGCAACTGCTATAATCCTCATTGCTTCTAATATTATCACAAGGTCCTGCTCCAAAAACACAAGATTTTCATCATACTGCATTTATACATTGGCCATCAATTACAATGTACTCAAGTCCAATCTATATATGTGTTCATTATTTGACCTACATTTCGGGTCCAGACTTGACCTCCTTTAACGGTTGGTGAAATGAGTGTTGAAGCAAAACAGGCCAATGACCTTATTGAAGGAAATAAGCAAATACAAAACCACACGAACAGACAACCCGACACATACTTATCTACGTAATGCTAACCTTTGCAGCGGCTTCAGAAGCAGCACCCCCTTGCTTAAAAAGAGACCAGGGTGCGCGCCCATCCATGTATAAATTTCCAGCATTGCTGATCTCTAGCACAGCCTCACAAGCTGATGACAGCGAGAGGTTTCCATACTGAACCCGAGCTTTTTCCACCTATAAAAGTACGGCAAGTGTTGGGACAACCAGGTCAAAGGTTGCAACAGTTGCATACAGGATTTTAATGTCCCAGGAACCAAAAAATGAATCGCAATTGCAAAAGGGTCTCCATGGCTTGCAAACATAAGCCACCTCAAACATCAAGTGATTCCACTAATTTGACATGCTATTTTTTTTTGGCCGAAACTAATTTAACATGCTTGGGAAACCTGATAATGTTCGAAATATAATGAAAACTTTACCAACTTCTCCACAGTGTCCTTAAATGTAATTCCTTCAGCTGCAATACTTGAATCAACCAACAAAGTTGATTGGCAGTTCTTCTTAAGAAGTCCCAGAGTACGGTTAAGCAGATTTCCTGCAAAGCAGAGACAACTTCAGTGCTCCAAAGAGAATAAAATAGGAAAGAAACTATCATTCATTAACCAACAAAGAATACTAATGAGGCGCAGTGTAGAGATACCAATTGAATTGGCAAGATGAGCATTGACAATATTGATGAAACGATCTTCTGAATAGTCCCCGTCATTTCCAAATTCCACCTCCCTGAGGAAGAAGTACCTGACCGCATCAGACCCGAATTTATGAACCAAATCATTTGGTTCAATTGTATTGCCCAGCGACTTCCCCATCTTCATGCCATCCTATAATTTTAAAAATAAAAAAGCATTGCTGCATGAAATGAAATTACATACATGAGATGAAAACTCAAAATGCCTACTACTCGCAGTACTGTTTTCGTTTTAAGTTGTATGAGCATCAATGATCTCTCTTTGCAGAGAGGTACACTTCAACTCAGCAATTTTAAATATAGAGTTCATGAGTGGAACGGAGTGCCTGTAGCTAAGGCTATAAATATATAATCAATAGGACTGAACAAAATCTATGAACAACAGTTCGGATTACCATGAGTTTTGTCATTTTAACATACAAATGACATCCATATCACAATGTGTCAACTTACCCCCATTTAGTAACATCAACTTTCTATCTACAATTAATTTTGAAAGAGACCATTATAATTTCATGTGGCATCTCTCATATTGGACACAAAAGACAATGTTACACATAGCTAAATGAACACCTGCTGCAATGCCTAACAATGGATCAGAAACTCCAGTCGACATGATCATTACTCAAAGTTTACAGGACTGAGAATTCATCTAGGATTCCAATACCAAAAGCTCTGTCTATGAGGAATTCAATCACGAGGGAGTTACAGGTACATCTATTCCCAGAAGAAACAATCATATATACTACGCTCAAATAGCTCAAATACCTTTGTCAAGAATCCATGGCCAAACACCATCTTAGGAAGGCCTAGTCCAGCAGACATCAGCATAGCTGGCCAGTAGACTGCATGGAAACGTAAAATATCCTACAGAAGAATAAGGAAACATCAACTATCATACAGAATTCTATTATATATCCCCGGTTATATCCCCCTCCTCTGTCATGCTTTGACATTGGAAGTTTGATTTAATATAACTTAATAGGATAGCTTATTAAAAGGAATATACTTGTGAACTGAAAAAAGTTAATCTACAAAGTATGGAAGTCACCATACCTTGCCAATCAAGTGTAGCGAGGCAGGCCACCCTGATGAAACGGCTCTTTCCAAATCAGGTTGCTCCGTATCTTCAGATAGGGCTGATATATAACTGTTAACAATATTTTGGAACATATACATCAAATAAATAATCTCCAGTAAGCATCTACCAAAAGAAATAGAGAAACCAGAAGTAAAGAAGCATCTAGTGCTAAAAGAAAGCAGATTCACAATTAATCTTCTATCTATTTTTTATAACAGTTGTCTGAAAACTTATTTATTAGTCTATGTCAGCCATATGTTTGGACTTATATATGACATAATGAAACCACACTATATTGAGTAGGTACTCACAGCTTCAGAAACAACATGACTATGAGTTACATAAGGGAAGAGGAATGGGAGGGAGAAAGAATTTTACCCCAGTAAAGCATCAAACCAAACATATATTGTTTGCTTGCTATCATTAGGAACAGGGATGCCCCAATCCACTAATGCTCGAGAAATGGAAAAGTCTCTTAGGCCACTTCTAATCCAACTTTGAACCTTGAGGAAAAGGAAAAACCTGTTTTAGTTACTTATAAAATTATAGAAAGAATAATATTATCAGCCCTCCAATTTTCTTTTTTCACACTCCCCAATTAATCAAATATAACTCTATATGCACTAACAAGATGAAGTGTGAGAACAAATAAAGAAACGATCATTGGCAACCCAGGCAGTAGAAATCTCAATTGGCTTGTAGGGTAAGTACTACACATTACATTTGCAATTTCATATATAAAGAAACAACTTTAAGTTACGTAAACCAATGTACTTTATATCTAACCTCATTAAGACGGAATGAAGGCTGTACAAAATTCGGATTTTTTGCCAAAGTTTCTTCCAACGACTTTTGATACTTGGACAATGCAAAGAAGTAATTATCCTCTTTCCGTGCAACACATGGCTTTAGGTGCGTAGGGCAACAGTTGTTATCAAGCAGTTCTTTCTCATCCTGTGCAATATTTAGAATTAATGATATGAGACCAATTATTAAGTATACAACACAAGCTACTCCAGAAAAATAGCTCAGTAGATATGAAGACATTGTATTCAAACAACATATATTAAACAGAAAGGAGCAGCAACATAATCCCCACTCAACAAGCAATCAAGTCAACTTCTCTAAATTACCCAGGGCAATGTTCCAGAATCAAAACTAATACAAGGATATATTATGTCATCAATACAAGTAATATAATAAATCCATCTAAAAAGAAAGTTTCATAAGGAATAAGCTTAAGTTATTCAAATAGAGTTGAGAGGGTTATCCAAACTAAAAGGCATACAACCAGAAATACAAGTTTGAATGGAATAAGAGGGCACCTTATACTCCTCACAATTGACACAATAAAGTCCCTCATAGTCAGCCCTGTAAATGTCTCCATTGGCAAGAACCCTTGAGTAAAACTCCTTCACAATTGCTTCATGCTTGGGATCAGTTGTTCGAATGAATTTGTCGTAAGCTATATCTAACTGCAATCACCAAATAACCCAAAAAATTTAAATCAATAAAAGTGAAAGTAAGAGCAATTTGAACAATCAATTGAACAAAATAGTAAATTTCGAAAGGCGGGTAAAAGAAAATACGTTTTTCCAGAGTGATATGTAAGACTGTGAAATGATGTCACAGTGTTGAGCTGGTGTGGAGGCACTATCAGCAGCTGCAGTGGCAATCTTTTCACCATGCTCATCAGTGCCAGTGATGAAGATGACCTTCTTACCCAACAGCCTCTGAAAGCGAGCAATGGCATCGGCAGCGATGGTGGTGTAAGCGCTGCCCAAATGAGGAGGGGCATTCACGTAATAAAGTGGAGTGGTGAGGACAAAAGGGTCACTGGCGGCGGCTTCGTCGTGGAGGGGAGTAGCCGAGGCACGCGTGCAAAACGACGTAGCTCTGGGTCTTCTTCTTGATGGCTGAAAGTGGAGGCGGGTCCTGAGATGGGTGGTGGCTTTGGAGTTGAGGGGATTTATGGGGTTTAAGAAGAAGTTTATTCTCGCTGCTGCTGCCGCCATTTTTGAGCGAAAAGTATCAAAGGGTTGGTTTGTTGGGGTGAGGTGGGCTCAGTTCATGGCCAAAGCTTGGGTTTTGGAGTTACAGGTGGATAAGATTAAAGAGGGGAAGTAAAATGATAAGCAAACCACAACGATAATCAGAGACCATCATCAGCCATGGCTCATCTTGACTTTTATAAATAAAAATAAAATTGATTTATTGATTAATATTCAAA